TTTCCATCGTCTCTCGAGACTAACGGTAGCCAACAACAACAACAATATATATATATATATATATATATATATATATATATATATATATATATATATATATATATATATATATATATATAGATGCAATAAACTGACGACGAACAGTACGAAACTAGTAACTAGCCTAAGCGCTTTCGACTCTTAATGAGTCTTTTTCAAAGGCAAATACAAAACATATATACGACAAACAAAAAAAACACAAAAACGTTGTGTTTGTAAACCTCTACATGGCTGTCTTCACATGTGCTAAAACTATAAATACAACCAGCTTGTATAGACTAGGTGCGGAAACTAGTTTATATATATATATATATATATATATATATATATATATATATATATATATATATATATATATATATATATATATATATATATATATATATATATATATAAAATATATATAAAAATTATATATTATAAATTATATATATATATATATATATATATATATATATATATATATATATATATATATATATATATATATATATATATATATATATATATATAATTCTTGAGTTTTACAATGTTTGGAATATTTACGGATAAAAGTGGTAAAGAACTGGATAATACTTCTAAATGTGCAACAAGAACTTATCAATGAATCCGGTAAATAATGGCGAAATACTAAAATCGATGCAAAATTACTAACATTAACTGAAATTTCTTAGAAAAAATGATAATATAATGAAAGAATATTGGTTAGTGAACATCAGTTATAATAACTTCAAAATAAGAACTTTATATGTTCCAAAATTTCTTCTGGAAAGACTTTTACATTCAACCTCGGAAACAAAAAGACCAAATTAATATACGGTGATGTTAAGACCCTGCAAATGTGACACACATACATACATACATACATACATACATACATACATACATACATACATACATACATACATACATACATACATTCATGCATGCATGCATGCATGCATGCATGCATGCATGCATGCATGCATCCATCCATCCATCCATCCATACACACACACACACACATACATATATATATATATATATATATATATATATATATATATATATATATATATATATATATATATATATATACAGAGAGAGAGAGAGAGAGAGCTGAAATTAAGATAACTTCAATTTATAATGATGTTAACGACAGAAAGTGACAAATAATTAATATGTTGATGATTAAACTTACATTTAGCATAAGCCATAATTTTTTTATTTTATTTACATAACGTCGGGGTGAAAAATATTATACTATCTTGATTAGAATTTACAAAAAAAAGCAGCGACATTGAAAGATAAATGGCAACAGCTCTCCTTTCTGTATGATGAAATATTGAAGTTTGGTATTTGTTCATGACCTTATCACCTGGTCCATTTAAAATTTAATAGTGTATTAATAACAGATCTGAACTGTCCACATATATTAAATAATAATCAGTTTAATGAATTCTGATTATCATTTAATTAGTGATAATTATGTAAAACTCTTGTGTGAAAATGTAGTTTGAACCATTATTAATAATAAATATATGGATTGATTCTTTCAATGAAACAACATTAATTAAAATTGTATATAATGGTGAAGCTGACATTCGTGCCTCGTTAAGTGCATTTAGTTTTTCAAACAAATTTAACATAATTGTATAAATGACAATTAAAACGGAAAGTAACATTACAGAATACAAGAATATTTAACAATGTTAGAAAGGAAAGAGTTATCGTTTATATGGACAACAACATTGATAACAGCATTCACACTGCGTGTATGGAGGTAATTCCGGTAACTCCTTGTTTTGGTGTCATATTTAGTGTTATTCCTGTAATTGCTGTAAATTATCAACTGAAACTAGATGATAATTGATCAACCATTAAAATTCAACCACCGGTAGTTGAATAGATTATTGAAGTATGTAAAATCCAGTTTCTATTGTGATAATAACCAAACCAGAGAATATGATTGACGACATAAAAATATGTTCCAAAGGAGAACTATGTTCAGCACTTTCAAATATATGTATGATTGTACACGTTGGATGGCTGTGAAGAAAAGCAACTTCGGTTTTACGTAACTAAATATTATAAAGAAAGACAAAGTAGGAAAATGCCAGTGCTTATTACCTAATGATATGATTGTTGGATGTACGGAACAAGGATAGTCCAGCCTTTTGTTTACTTTATCACGGAAGTATTATAATTATGATCAAGTTATCAAATAATGACGACCAATCAGAACATACATTGTTGGAAGAATGGTAAATGATAAAAGTGTATGCAGCAATAAAAAAACAGAACTATTTTTCCATCGGTGTGGTGAAGGTAGGTCATAGAGTAAGTGAAATCACCAATTCCGGTAAAATAAACAAACAAGTTATTTCCGTACAAAGCAAACTAAAAAAAAAACAAATTATTTCCGTACCAAGCAAAAAAAAAATCAAACCATATTTACAGTATCGTGAATTAAGTTCCAAATTATCTTAAAAATTCAATCACAAGTCCAAACAATATACAGAATTTGTTAAACAAATTTATGTAATCTTGACTGTCGTGATATACCACAATAATGCAATCCAGAAAATCTTTGAATGAGTTCACAATAATTTTTTAAAAATTATTTGCTAATCCAAAGTCAATGAATACTTAGTAATTCTAATGACTAATTTAAAAAAAATAAAAAACAGTTATGGATTTCCATAGACTGATATAAAACAGGAACGAATTATTTTTTACTAAGTCCCTAAATGTATATTTCACATGACCTATAATGTAAAAGATTTCCAACGAGAAATCGTCGTGTAACTGTAAACAAGACTGACCTTGAACTCTTGCTACGTAAACGTGTTATTTACACTTACAATTATGGGCAAAATTTAGTTATGTAGACATGTTATTTACAAATTACCTATATCTTAAAATACAAACTATAATCATGGAGAAAAACTAAGCACACGCTGTAGACATAAATTTAAACTGGGAGACAGTGGGACAGAAATACAGAAATAGATATATTGTTTAAGCATATAATTTGTGCCATATATTGTCATCTTTGCCGAATTACACTTTTTTGTCATTTATTAAAAAAAACACACATGGCTAAATCAATGGTCAAGCGAATATTAATTTTTCTGACTCGGACTAACGAATATGATCAACCATTTGCATTTTATAGCGAGACTATCAAACTTCACCTTTTGTATTACGCAAGGGCGATTGTTCCAATATACTAAAAATAATCTTTTGGAATAAATATGTTGTTGTTGTGGGGTTTAACGCCATTTTTCAGCACAGGAAAGGCTATACATGGCGGCCAGTATTAATGGTGGAGGAAGAAACCGGGAAATCACCGGAAAGAACCACCGAACCACGAGAAGCTACTGGCAAGCTCTCTCACTTATCCCCATTTGCCGAATCTTAGACTCGAACCCACGCAGATAGAGGTGAGATGGCAGTGATCCGTAACGGACAGCGCTTTGACCACTCGGCCACTGCTTGTTTCTTTAAATAAGTTGTCCATGCTAATTAAACAATTTAATCTCTATAAATCATCTAGATAACAGCGCATGCCTAATAAAATAAAGAAATAGACTTGTTTACTTTAAGCAAGTCCGTGAATAATATTTTCCAAGTAAAAGAGTAGTGATAATTCACAGGAAATTAAGACAAAATTATCCATGGCCGAGTCGTGAAAAGATAACTGTGAAATTAGAAGCTAATACTGCATGTTATACAGTAAAACTTGTTGTGAATATGCTTGAGCATAACATGAAAGATAAATTTGCTTGATTGATAGATAGATTGATAGATAGATAGATAGATAGATAGATAGATAGATAGATAGATAGATAGATAGATAGATAGATAGATAGATAGATAGATAGATAGATAGATTGATAGATAGATAGATAGATAGATAGATAGATAGATAGATAGATAGATAGATAGATAGATAGGTAGGTAGGTAGGTATATAGACAGACAGACAGACAGACAGGTAGGTAGGTAGGTAGGTAGACAGACAGACAGACAGACAGGTAGGTAGGTAGGTAGTTATATAGACAGACAGACAGGTAGGTAGGTAGGTAGGTAGGTAGGTAGGTAGACAGACAGACAGACAGACAGACAGGTAGGTAGGTAGGTAGGTAGGTAGGTAATTAAACTGACATTGTGATCAAAGAACTATGTACTGGAGCTTGAAACAGAATTAGAACTCTCAAATAATAAACGTGATTTTACGAAAGTTAATTCTTCTATCAATAAACAAATCGGATCTTAAATTTATACTTAAACCCCATTAGAGTCTCGAAGCTTAATTGCTTACTAACAGCGTAAATACAGACTGCATGATTCGAAGGGGTTCGTGTCAGAGCTGTTACCATTTTAGTATGCCGTAAGACGCACTGTGACCAGTACTTGAAGAGAAATAATGTGTTCCTAAACGGTGCAATCAGGCGGCATAGTGTATACATACTTATTGTGCATTATCCTGATTATCCCAGATGATTATCCATGATAATTGCGACACTCTTCGTTAGGAATAACAGATTGAACTGCAAATGACGTGACTGGTTCATCAATACAGAAATACGAATTTCTGCAAAGAAATTTCCTTGTGATACGTGGACACAAATGAGGATCGCCTAGCAAAACAAACACCCGCACAAACTTGAGCTCACACGCGCACATAGACATACCCACATAAATAATAAAATAAAATAAACATAAAAATAAATAATATCCATTTAAAAATGATGTGCGCTACTATTTAAACTTTAAAACATGCCATCTGACACATGCAGACAAAGACAGTATAGCTAGAAGGGTACTCGCACCTATACTGAATGAAATTAATAATAATGTAGCATGATATCCCACCCAGTCACATTATCCTGACACCAGGCCGTACAGTCCTAACACTAAACTCTTACTGCTGAGCGTCATGTGAGGCAGCTGTTAGTACCATTTTTGTAAGTCTTTGGCAAAATTCAACCTGGGATAGAACCCACGACCACCCGCATCCGAGGCGGACGCTCTAACCACTAGACCACTGGAGCGGTCGTCGCACTTGGTCTCTTATGCATACTTATCTAGAAGTATATGTGGCCAGTGATGTACACTAAGAAATTCACCACTGGAAGGATATATAAATGAGTGAAGATATCTTGAATTCGATGCTTGGAAACAAGAGGTTGTTGACATTCAAAGACAGGTCAAACTTACCACAGAAAAGATAAAAGTTAACATTTTGTTGCTTGAAAAAATAAATTAATTAATAAATTTATGTCTATGTTTTTCTATATCAATTTTATAGTTTTCTTTATGGTGGTATTGGTATTTTCACGTGGCTGCATCATCTGTTCTCAAAGTGATTCACAAAAAATGGACAGCTTGTCAAAGAATATAGGCACTGTATCTTAGCGAGACCTTTATATGCTGATTGCTGCACCGAGTAGTTTAGGCAAAACCGAACTTGTAAATGTTTGATCGAAACAACTCATTTTGTTGGATCGTCCTCCACAACGTATTGTGTTGTGCACAAAGAGTGGCAATCGACGTACCAGTTTCTGAAAGAAAAAAACATCGATATCAATTGTCAATGGATTCGTCAAGAAAACGATGCGACCTTGGCTGATTCTAGCTAAATGCATCTATTACACCTTTAATGACATGTTAGGAGTAGACGAAGAAAAATTTTAACTTTGTTTTATTCTAAAAGGACACCATTTTATGCCTAATATTATTTACATCACTCAAAATATGCTTCATCAAAGCCAAGAGCATCGAACAATCACAGTGCCAATGCTTATTATAGAATGTTCTTTAAGAGTCCGAGAAATAGATCTAAACTTTCAGTTTTGACTGAACAATTAGAAACATCCTAGTTGTCTTATGATGATGTCTTTTATTCGCTAAAATTCGTATTTGCGGATCGATTCTAAAGCTACCAATCCAGATTATTTAAGATTTCGACATTTATCACGATATGTGTCATAAATGAGGTCCAGCGATTTACACGTCAATAGCCACATTTTTCTCTTCCTGCTAAATTAAAAATCTTTGAATGCCTATGCAAACACCATTTACTTCGTGCATCTCGAACAGCACAACTTCCTTTCAGTCTTATCCTAATGTCAGATTGAGGTGTGTTATCAGCTGCGAAAAAATGCACCAAGTGCGATTGCATTTGCTAGACGGCTGTCTCGAACGAAGATTCCTTCCTAATACTCATCATCAAAGTCAACGTTTGATTGATTTTGCTGAAAATCGTGACATTATAAAGCAACTCTTACACAACTCGAATGTCCAAGTATATATAATCTGACTAGGAAATACATTAACTTGAAACCAGGTTCAAAAGGGTGTTTAGCAGGAGTCATAACTCGTTTTCTTCCAGGATAGGATCCTAATACCGTAACCGAAGCTTACAAAGAAAACCCCATGAAAAATTCAAACAAATGCAAAAAGACGATGAATGAGGCAGTAAGATTATATCCACAATGCTCCTCTTCCAAAAAGGAAAGAAAAACCAGCAATTCATTGTGAAGAAAGAGAGGTAGTTGGGCTAAAGCGTGGAATTACTCACGGAAATCTTTACTTGAATGCAAGCAACCGTCATCTAGTAACGTCTCTTCACCTCTGGGAAATGGTAATAATGCTAGCTAAACCTAATTTAAAACAAGTGTTTCCCATTCTGTTTCCCAATCTTATGAACAAACGAATACTCATCTCTAAAGGGACATCCTTCGTCATATTGTTATGCCTATATGTTGTTGCTGCTGCACGCAAATGGTTTCACCACTAAAAAAAGAAAAAGAACAGAATTCGAACGATTTAGTCCGTGGACAAGGCCTCCCTACTACTATTGAGCATGAATTCCAGCATAAAAAGAGAGTTGGACACGATTACTTAAATTTCCGTTAAATAAGATATCTTTCTTCAAACGTTCAGAGCAACAATATCATTGTCGAAAGATTTATTAAAATAAGGAAAGGAAGAATTACCCATCATTTATCCAGGAATTGGGATATCTTGTCAGCGCTCAACAAAGCGAACAGCTGGATGCTGAATGATATCATTTTTCTTAGTAAGTGATGGAATCTCTAATTTTTATTAATAACCTTTACACAATAAACTTAAAACAAGATTATTTTAGTAGCAATCTCTACAGAATAGTGATAAATTCCGTCCGTTAAATATGTCATTCCTATAACTCGAAGATACTATGTGCATAATAGAGCCTAACGTGTTGGTATATCGAGGATACATCAGTATGGATTTAACCCCCACTTATCAGCTCAAGATACTATGTAATGATGCAAAGATGACTCCCAACACCGATTGTAGCAGATGTGCATTCCGTAGAAAATCCAAGACATTTAGATTATCGTTTAATAGTAGCAAAATGTTGACAACTAGTTTATTTCATTAATTGGTCAAATTTGACAATTACATAGATTCATAGAGAATCTTATACAAATGTCCATTTCTTTTATAGACCCTTTTAAAATTCAAAGTACTAAATTCGAGAAAAATATATAAATCAAGTTTTCGGTAGAAACGTAAATGCCTCAGAGCCGATAGGTCAAAAATGCTTATTTCCGCTGGTTAAATTGCAAAGCAGCTTATTTGCAATTCTCGACGAAAACCATTTATGATACAATAATTCGGATTTAGGCTAGCGAAAGAAGTCATAGAGGTACTTACAATGACAAAAATATGCTTACATGTTTGCGTCTTGAATTTCCTCAAAATGAACTTACCTAATGATACAAATCCGAATTACACAAACTATGTCATAGTGTTCGAAAACACGATACTCACCGCGAACATGCATCATAATTTGGACTACATTTCCATCTACAATAATATTCAACTGCACTCGAACTGAACGTGATAATTTCAATCGAAGAATTGAATGTTTTACCACATTATGATTCCAAATAATCAAATTATACACAATTGCAGCTGTTTGAAGGCTGGTACCTCCACTGGATCAAAAAGAGAAATTTTAAGGAAAAACATTATTGGGCGATCAAGTTCAAAGATTGCTAGGCGGTGTTGTTCGCACGTTAATAGTGTTGCTATGTATTGATAATGTACTGTTGTGTATTTGTTTTCGAATGAAGCGTAAAGTCAACTACTTTGTTTCTTATAGTATTTGCATTTCTAAGCTTTAAACCTTAGGTAGAGAAACAACATGAGTATATAATAAATAGGATACAAGCACGCAAACTAGCTGAATATAAGCACGTACACGTAGATGCCTACATTATCTCTCCAATTTTGAATTTCTAACATTTTACTGTTCGATTCAATATGGCCCTCTGTGAGCTGTACCATAATATGTGAGGCAACAATGAACTTAAATGTTATGTCATCGTGCTGTTTTACGGCACTGTCAAAGAGCTTTACAATCCATTTAGACCGAAAAAGAGACATCTTGGTGAAAGAGAATAAGTCTAATATAGTTTACCGAATTCATGTTTCCGTTTATGCATTTTTGTCTTGAGTCGCGAAAATATGTATGTGCGAACTTTGCTAAATATTATATTTGTGTTAAGGTTTTCCTTGTATCGTATATTTGAACCGCCACAATAGCCTCATAGAGAATTTTAATACACTGTAATACATTTCATATCCATGGATTTAGGGCGCTACTATTATGCTGCTCATGTTTGCGTGATTGCGAAACGTCGTAATTAATATTTGCTCAAGTATGAATGTCTGAATTCCATTTGGGGAGGATTCTAGTAAACTATGAAGCACATTTAAGGTAGTGTTGAAACGAGGGTTCTCCAGTTGACAATTGTTTTAATCGTAAAACATTTCCCTAAAATTATACTTGCATATTGCTCCATATTTTTCAAGCAGTAGGTTGGAGTTACGCTTAAAATTCTTTTTTGAGTTTTAATGATATACCATGAAACCAAACAAATTCACTTTGTAGAGAAAAGACAACGCACTTCTATCAATTAAAACAACATCAGTTAAATGTGCTCATATTTATTAAATGATCGTAATTTAAAATCAGCATTATAAAACGGCTGCAATTTCATAACAAAATAGTCACATTCGATTTCACATTCATCAATTTTACCTTCCAAAATAAAGATCCAGAGTAGACTCTATACAACCAAAAATAAATTAAAAAAGAAAAAGTTGTATAAAAACATTTTGTTGCGTTTTCGTCGGCCTGCACGAAAGCAAGTCGCATAATTCCGAATGCATATTGAAAAGCCGATTCTTTTCTTTGTCGACATTAAGTCATTTTCTGGATTGTTTGAGGACAGGAAACAAATTTAAGCATGGTAGAACATGGAATATCTGAATGACCTCTCATTTTAAGGCTGCCATTTTAAGAATGCATCATTTACATTGTTTGACATCAGAGGGAACATTTTACATTGAATATCGGATAGCTCAGGATATTTAATATTCAGTATTATATTCATCAGATTTTGTACAGTTGTTAGAGCTTTTGTTATGGCTTTCATTTATATGCAATGCCACATCAAGTAAACCATGATAAAATTGGACTGTGGAAATATACTTATTAAATAGATAGAACTATGTTTTAGATGGTACGTGATATCTCCTGCAATTTGTTTGCATGTTACATTTTTGATTCATTAAACGGTTATTAAAGAGCTGCATTACGCAAACAATATTTAATTTTCATATTAATTTTAAATTACACCCTCAGTAGGTCTAGAAACATGACACCATGGATCGTATGTCAGATTTGGATACATATCATTTATTTACCTTCTATATATTAAGTATATTTTCGGCGGTTTACAAATGTCTGTAAACATAAATCAAACGCAAAATATGAAAATGATATTTGCTGAAGACAAGTATTGACCATCGACCATATTGCTAAGTACAAACATTTTGACTTGTTTCCTTGCTGACAACTGTTAAAAGAATGAGTAAGCCAGAATAGAAGAAAATGCAGCAAAACATTTATTTGTATCTTTAGCGAATATGAACACGCCAAACTCGCATGAGAATAACACTGGCTGGAGATTGTCCAGTACATAGGAAACTCTAA